CCTTGTTAGGGAAACAGACAAGGAAGTAAGGCTGGGAAAGATGGTTGTTCCGGCTAATGTTGAAGTGCACGTCCCAAATCTATCGCTTCATCATGATCCCAAATATTGGGGAGAAGACGTGAACGTTTTCAAACCAGAGAGATTCTCAGAAGGGGTTGCTAAAGCTACTAACAACAACATAGTGGCATTCATACCCTTTGGATTGGGCCCTCGAACTTGCGTGGGCATGAACTTCGCAATCGTGGAAGCAAAGATTGCTCTGGTAATGATTCTACAGCGCTACAGCTTCACCCTTTCCCCTGGTTATGTCCACTCTCCCATTCAGTTTATGACAGTTCGCCCACAGCGTGGAGTTCCCGTCATTATACACTCACTGTGAACTGTGAAGACCAGAATATTTCATTTATTTCAATAAATGTTGTACTTAAATTAATTCCTCTGGATCATGCGGTAAATTTCTGATGAAACATTTGGAAGAATAAATTCAAAATGCTTTAATTTCATGCCCCATCAGGGTTATAGCCCATTAATTGTTTCAAAGCTCTACTTAAACTAGTCGCCCAGAAAAAAAATCTCAATGCCAAAAGGCATTGCAAGGCCAAACAATTCAAGCAAAGCATAATACTTGAGTAACTGGCATTGTCAGATTCTAATCTTGATTGCATATGAATCGAGGCATTTTGCTAGTCTAGTGTAGTCCTCTTAACGGGGATATCAAACGAGGCCTGAAGCTCCTTGCTTATTTCAACACCAAGTTGGTGTTTCAGATTCAAAATTTATTCATCCTAATTATTTTAACACGGAAGATATATCTAAATAATTGTACTTGATTTTAAAAATCAGGACGGAGAATCTTTCAACTTGAAAAGGCAAATACGGAAATCTAGGCGACACATTTGCTTGACTAAACATGCTTTGACTTTTTGTCCATGTGAACGTATCATTATTATTTTGCTTATTTTTAAAACAAAGTCTATGTACCGATTCTCAGACTCAACCTTCTTTTTTTGTTTTGTTTAATGAAATAACCTTTTGTTTTCGTTTTTAGTTTTGTTTTTTTATTATAGGAATTAACCTTTTTTTATTTTATTACTTTTCTTGATGCTTAAGATTATTAATTCTTAATTGTTGATGGTTGGTAGATAAGTACAATAATGCTCGCCCACATTCATTATTTTTTTCTTGACATTTTTTTATTTGTGACGTGACGTTAGTGTTTTATATTTAAGGATATTAAATCATAATTGTTGATGTGACACCAAGACTGTACTAGTTGTTGCCTTCCTCAGTAATATATTATCACATTTTATAAAATAATAAATAATAAATAATAAATAATAAATAATTGAAAACGTATGCAATAATACTTGGTAGCTATTCAGTTAGAGAAGAAGAACTCAAATTTCAAAGTCGTCTTCGTTGTCTACACTCTTTATCCGGTGAGTCGGTGACCGTTGGATTATGTGTTAAAATCACATTTGAAATCTAAGGGTGCGTTTGGCATCTGATAGATCGACTTTGGCTTCGTCTTTGCTCTTCCAGAATTTCCTTTTAATTCTTCCACTTTTCAATCTGATTTTGGAAGTTTTTGAAATTAGTGGATGGATTTGCTGTTTTATGCCGACAACATGTTCGACCAAATGCCTGAGAAGAAGCCTTAACTAAAATACCACACCACATACAGGTTTCCAATTTTTAATACCAAACAAGTTTTCAAGTTTCCAATTCAAATGTTCAGATTCAATCCCAATTTTTGAAAAGGGGTTCCTAATTGCCAACCAAACGAGGGCCTAATTTTTGAAAATGGGCCTTCTCGTGTATAAGATTTGGGCCTTCCGTAATGCATGTTTTTGGGCTACGATAAAACTTCCACCAGAGTCTGCCCTGTTGTGAAAAACCATTTCCCCCTGGCATGCGAAATTTCTGGCATTTTTGGCCAAAGCTGGAAGAGAACTCCTCCCTGATAAATTGATAAATGTTCACTTCTGTTTCTGTACTCAAAACCAAATAAACTCCCTGATATATAACCACAAAGACTTTAATAATGCCTTGGTAAACCAAGTGCAAAATTATACAAAATTCTGTTCAGGTTTTGACCATTACACCTCCACATGGTTTACACAGCTCACACCGGATGCAGCGTTACTCGAACACCATGTTGTGGCCTAACCGTAAGAAAATGAAACGGGGAGTGAACGTAGGCCGGCGACAGGGTGAAGGAGTAGTGTTGTAGAATCATTGACAGAGCAATCTTTACTTCAGTGGTTGCAAAATTGAAGCCCACACAAGTTCGAGGTCCCATTCCAAAGGGCAAGAATGCGACCATGTTATCCTTGGTAGCTTTAGCAACCCCTTCTGAGAATCGCTCTGGTTTGAAAAGGTGCACGTCTGCTCCCCAAAATTTAGCATCATGATGAAATGCTAGGTTTGGGATTTGCAGTTCAACGTTAGCAGGGACTATGAGATTTCCCAGTCTAACTTCCCTCGCGGCTTTCCTTTCGAAGAAAATAACAGGAGGGTATAATCTCAGAGACTCATTGATAATCATACTCATCTGCATTGCATGCATCAAAGTCAAAATTAGACAACAAATCCGCATTTCAAGCTTAAAAGCAAACAATTAATTCACTAATATATTTTCTTACTGTTTTGAGCTTGGAAATGCCCTCAGGGTGTGGATTTTGTTTGCCAAATAGTTGCAGGACCTCCTTCCTTGCTTCCTCTTGCCAATCCCTATGGAGGGCCAGAAGAAATACAGTCCAAGCAAGTAAAGAATTAGTGGTTTCTTGTCCAGCAAAGTAAAAAGTCTTGCACTCGTCGACCAAATCGTCCACTGAAATCCTCTGCTTCTCATTGGTGTCATGGTGAGCCTTTAAAAGCAATCCAAGAAAATCACTTCCAAACCCGTCTTCCTCTCCCCCCATTGCCTTCTTTTCTCTTTTCTTAATAACCTCCATTACGCTATCGCGTATTCCTTTCTCAAGCTCCGCTGATTCGATTTCATCTCTGGTTTTAAAGATCTTACTGCAATAGTGAATGAAAGAACATTGGTGTGATCAATATTTTCTGCAAGCTTAGAAGAAAACTTAGTTTTATGCATAACAAGCCTGAGTTACCTGATACCAGGAAACCTAAGTTTGAGAGCATTTTTGAATGTCAAGAAGGATAACTTCATCAACATCTCAAAGATGTTCTTCCCTTCCAAGTAGCTGCTGCCAAATGCTGTTCTGGAAATCACTTCTGAAGTGAAGAACCTGAATTCGTCATACACTTCAATCTCTTTGCCTTCATGGTTCTTTAACCTTTCAAGCATCGTCTCGCCGCTAGCTATCATCGCTGGAATCATACTCTGATCAACACAGTCGGAAAATTTTACTTGTAAATTTCAACCCTTCATTTATTCTGTTTCACTTTTAGAAAAATGCTGTTGGAAGAAAGAATCACCAATAATAACTTTAGGAGGTTACTTTTAAGCTCTCTCCATGGAAGGCATGGTTGGCCAGCTTTCGCAACTTGGACCATTTTTCACCTGAGGATCTAGTGAGGCCATCTCCTAATAACTTCTTCACATATCCTAAAGTCTCTGTTTTTTGAAGAGCCCCGTCTTTGTTATTCAGTATCTCTTTGCATATTTCAGGTTCCGTAATGACCAGCTGAGCTTTAGAGCCATGCCATTGAAGATAATTCTTCCCTGTTTCCAAAGATTACCAAAGTTTATTTTGCAGCTAATTAAGATTCGAAAAGAAAACAGAAAAAATAAACCATAGGTGAAGGAAGAAGAGTTTCTTTCTTTACCATATAACTTGGTCCACAACTGAATATGAGGTTGAACTTGAGGAAAGATGTCATGTGATAAGCTCTTGGGCCTGCTCATAGCTTCCTTTTTCATATTGGAGATTTCTTTGGTGTTTCCGTGGATAAGTCTGTAAGAAGGGCCTTTGATCCCCTGCAGAGCCATCAGCTTCTGTACTCGAACCGGCTTCCACCACAGCTTTTCAAACATCTTGACGAGAGCTAGCAACAGCGACAGACACAGAAAGCTTGAGAGAAGGATCGCCGGCTCTCTGCACCAACTCATTTTTTCTAATTGTTCTCTCTTGATCTCCTCCTTGGCTGTAGCTCTCCTCTGTTTCTTAGTTTTCTTCTTCTTGTGTTCTTCAACAAGCTTCTTGCTCTTAACAAGTCTCTTGCTCTATGTTGATAATAAATGTTACTTTGGAAACATGTTGCCATCGTTGACCTCAAGAATGCGTCTCTTAGCTTCTAATAGACAATGAAAGGCAGGGAATATTGCATATATGTTTATACATTTCATATGGCGTCACTGATCACGGTGACTTGTTGAAAACCTAAAGCTGGCATTGTCGGCGCATTAAAAGCATGACGTATATATATATATATATATATATTGGAATCTCGTACGAGTACGAATGTATCCATGTCTAAATATAGGAGAATCATAATAAATAGTGGGACAGGACAGCGGCTCTGATAGCTACCTTCTGTGTTGACTAAGGTTTGTTGAAACTTACGGTAATTATTGCACACTTAAGGTGGAAAGCGTGACCACACAAGAAATGTAGATATGTGATTGATAGCAACGTTAAATAGAAATCCTATCAATCACATATAGTCGCTATCAAAGATGCTATTAAACTCTCTTTCATTGTATTAATTAAGACCTACCATTGTGTTATACCTTTTTTTTAGTGGTGATTTCCCCATTCCTTTTTCTCCTATTTTATCCACTTACACTCCTTTTTTTTAACTAAAAAAGGAGTGTAAGTGGATAAAATAGGAGTGGGGAAATCATTGTCTTTTTTTTTTTTCTTTTATAATAATAAAATTTTTAATGAGCGATATTGGGGAAGGGGGAATCAAATATAGGACCTCAGAAGCATGGACAAATGCTCTTAACCACTTAAGCTACAAGACCCTTGCCCATTTTGTTACAGGTTTGTCCACAATTTCATGGTAGGTTTATATCGTTCACACGCAAGTCACAGTGAGTGTAGAATTACTTGAACTCCGTGTTGTGGGCGAACTGTAATGTACTGCAAAGGAGAGTGGACATAAGCAGGGGAAAGGGTGAAGGAGTAGCGTTGTAGAATCATTGACAAAACAATCTTTGCTTCAGTGGTTGAACCCAACGCAATTTCGAGGTCCCATTACAAAGGGTAAGAATGCAGCTATTCTGTTCTTTGTGGCTTTAGCAATCCCTTCAGAGAATTGCTCCGGTTTGAAAAGGTGCACGTCTTCTCCCCAGAGTTGAGGCTCATGGTGAATTGCTAGACTTGGGATGAATATTTCAACATTAGCAGGAACTATGAGCTTTCCTAGTCTAAGTTCCCTTTCAACTTTCCTTGCAATGGAAACAATAGGAGGATACAACCTTAAGACTCATTGATGATCATACCCATCTGTATTGCAATTTGCATGCATCAAAAGGAAAAATAGAGAACAAATCAGGATTTTATACATATTAGTTGAACATTTTTTTGTCACTTGGGCAAACAATTGACTGTGTGACATTCTTACTGTTTTTAGTTTGGCAAGGCCATCAGAGTTTGGAGCTTGTTTGCCAAATATTTGCAGGATCTCCTTTCTTGCTTCCTCTTGCCAATCTGTATGGAGTACCAGGAGAAAGACAGTCCAAGCCAGCAAAGTATTAGTGGTTTCTTGGCCAGCAAAATAAAATGTCTTGCATTTGTCAACCAAATCATCCACCGAAATCCTCTGCTTCTCTTTGGAATCATGATGAGCCTTTAAAAGTAATCCAAGAAAATCACTCCCAAAGCTGTCTGTTTCTCCAATCATTATCGCCTTCTCTTCTCGTTTCTTGACAATCTCTATTATTCCCTCACGTATTCCTTTCTCTAGCTTCTTTGATTCGACCTCATCCTTGGTTTTAATAAGCTTACTGCAACATAGAATGAAAGATATGAACATGTGAAGTGAGAACAGAACATCGTTAAAATTGATAAGTCGTAGAGAAATTCAACAAAATGAAGTTACCTGATGCCAGGAAAACTGAATTTGAACAAATTTTTGAATATCAAGAAGTATAACCTCATCAACATCTCAAAAACGTTCTTCCCTTCTAAGTAGCTGCTGCCAAATGCTGTCCTGGAAACCACTTCTGAAGTCAACAATCTAAATTCTTCAAACACCTCAATCTCTTTGCCTTCATGTTTTTTCCACCTTACTAACATCGTCTCAACACTAGCTGTCATTGTTGGAATCATACTCCAGTTAAAAAAAAAAAACAAACAAAAAACAAACAACAATGCCATATCATACACTTTGAAAATTTGCAAGACTTGGCAGTAACTGTAAGTCTGCACAACTTACTTTTAAGCTATCTCCATGGAAGGCATGGTTGGCCAGCTTTCGCAATTTTCCCCATTTTTCACCTTCCGTTGATGCAAGGCCATCTACTAATAGTTTCTTTACATAGGCTTGAGAATCGGAGTCCACCATAGTTTGTGAAAGATCTTGATGAGAACTAAGAGAAGGAACAAAAACAGAAATCTTGAAAGAGTGATTACTGGATCTCTGAACCAACTCATTTTCCTGGCTATTTTTCTCTTTGCCTGTATCTCTGAACCTGCTGATTTCCAATTGGGATACTTATGGATTTATTACTTAATTGGGAAGCATGTGGTATAAGATTACGACACAAAGAAGATGCCAGTTTCGTCCCTAACAAAATGACCCTGCAATATCATATGGCTTCATTGTGGATTATGTGCTTGATTTGCTAACAACCAATGACGCTGCAACATTATTAAAATTTGTGACTAACTGGACTATACTAAACATTGTGCAGCCCTCTTTAACAATTCCTTTGTCATGTTGGAGATTTCTTTGGTGTTAATCCACCAAAGTTACCCATCACTTCTTTCTTCATTTCCTCTGTAGTCTGTTTCTAAGTACCCTTATTTTCTTGGCATGTGCAATGTGCAATTTCTTTGGCCGTTTCCAAGTTTGAAGAAAACTCCCTTATACTTGTTCATTTTTGTACACGTCAGCGATGAGAATAATATATATATATATATATATATGTAGGTTCCCATGAACCTTATTATTTTCATATTTTGGGCTATATGCATTAGTGCAGTTCATGCTAATGTGCTGCCTGGGGTTAGAGATGCTCTTTGGGTTCCCAAAACGTTTTATTTCATCAATGGAAATTCTACCAGAAACATGCAGCAAAGCAGCAGAACAGGAGGTTAAATTTTTACAAACTTCACAGCAGACATTACAATCTTTTAAAATAACAAGCTAACCATGTCCAAGGAAGGGCATCAGGTAATCCATACACCAAGTCCAAGATTATGGGCAATTCTGGTTCTTTCAGTTCACAGTGAGTGTAGCATTACTTGAAGTCCATGTTGAGGGCGAACTGTAAGAAGCCGAAAGGGAGAGTGGACATAGGCCGGGGAGAGGGTGAAAGAGTAGCGTTGTAAAATCATTGACAGAACAATCTTTACTTCATTGGTTGCAAAGTTCAAACCCACACAATTTCGTGGTCCCATACCAAATGGTAAGAATGTGGCTATGTTATTCTTAGTAGCTTTAGCAACCCCTTCAGAGAATCTCTCCGGTTTGAAAAGATGCACGTCTTGTCCCCAGAGTCCAGGCTCATGGTGAAATGCTAAACATGGAATGACGAGTTCAACAGCAGCAGGGATAATGAGGTTTCCCAGCCTTACTTCCCTTTCAGCTTCCCTCTCAAGGACAACAATAGGCGGATATAACCTCAGAGTCTCATTGATGATCATAGTCATCTGCATGAAAATGAATATTTGAAAAGAAATCAGTATTTCATAGTTAATGAAGAACATTTATGCCACTTGAAGAAGCGATTGATTGAGTACTGGACTTTCTTACTGTTTTTAGTCTGGCAATGCCATCCGTATTCGGATTTTGTTTTCCAAATATTTCTAGGACCTCCTTTCTTGCTTCCTCTTGCCAATCTGTATGGATTGCCAAAAGAAAGACAGTCCAAGCAAGCAAACTACTAGAAGTTTCTTGTCCGCCAAAGTAAAATGTCTTGCACTCATCAACTAAGTCATCTACAGAAATACTCTGGTTGTCATTGGCATCATGATGAGCCTTCAAAAGTAATCCAAGAAAATCACTCCCAAAGCCATCTTCTTCTCCAGCCATTGCCTTCTTTTCTCTTTTCTTAACAATCTCCATTATGGAGTTATATACTCCTTTCTCAAGATTCTCTGATTCGATCTCATCGCATGTTTTATAAAACTTACTGTAATATTCAATGAAAGACTTAACATGAGAACTAAACTAATAATCCAAGAATTCGTTTGTGAATAGTTCTTTGATGCGCAGCAGATGGGGAAAATGAAAAAAAGAAAAAGAAAAAAGAATTCACCTGATACCAGGAATCCTGAGTTTCAAAAAATTTTTGAAAGATAAGAAGGATAACTTCATCAGCATCTCAAAAATCTTCTCCCCTTCTAAGTAGCTGCTGCCAAATGCTGTCCTGGAAATCACTTCTGAGGTGAGCAACCGAAATTCTTCAAACATCTCAATCTCTTTGCCATCTTGATTTTTCCACCTTTCAAGCATAATCTCAGCACTAGCTATCGTTGCCGGAGTCATACTCTACCATCATGCCATTAACAAATTTACTTTCAATTTATGCCTTTCTTATTTTTCTGCCATTCATAAACAACCGTAAGAACTTACTTTTAAGCTTTCTCCATGGAAAGCATAGTTGGCCACCTTTCTCAATTTTCCCCATTTTTCAGTGTTGGTTGTTGTCACAAGTCCATCTCCCAGTAGCTGCTTCACAAAGCTTTTGGGCTTGCTTTTCGGATAAGCTCTATCTTTGTCATTCAGTATCTCCTTGCACAACTCAGGTTCCGTGATGATCAATTGAGGTCGAAGACCATACCATTGAAGAAAATTCTTCCCTGTTGCAAAAGATGACCAAAGTTATTTCAGAACAAAGACTCAAAAACCATGGTCAATGAGGAGTTTCTTTACCATATAACTTGGTCCAGGAGTGAAAATGAGGTTGAACTCTGGGAAATATGTCATGTGATAAACCTTGGGGCTTGCCCATGGCTTCATTTTGCATGTTGAAGATTTCTTTGGTGTTTCCATGGACAAGTCTGTAAGCAGGGCCTTTGATGCCCTGCAAAGCCATCAGCCTCTGTATGCTTCTCGGTTTCCACCATAGCTTGTGAAAGATCTTGATGAGAGCTAAAAAGAGGAACAGACACACAGAGCTTGAAAGAATGATTGCTACTTCTCCAGAGGAATCCATCTTTTTTAGTAAAGTTTTTCTCTTTTGCTAGATTTCTGAACCAGATCAATATTCAGCTCCCTCAGTTGACTATTTAAATTGTCTTGCTCTGTTAGGGCTAGTTTTGCATTGCTATGCTTTAGAAAAAAAAAACTGCTTCTGCTGTGTTACAAGAATAATCAGTTGTGAAAAAAATCAGTTAAGTGTTTGTTAAATTATATTTTAAAAAGTACTCTGAGTAATCAAAGTGTATGATAAATTTTTATCATAAGGGCTTTCAGTGTGTACAGTGACAAAAAAAATGAATCATGATGATGAAATTATTTGTTGTTTTCTTATTTCTTTTTCTACTGTTTTTTTAATTTTTTTTTTTAAAAACAACAACAACAACTTTACGCTTCATAATTTTTCTCTTTTTGTAATTCACATTTTTTTTGGGTCAAACTTTTTCGTCTCTCTCTGCATCTCCCTTTTTTTTTTTGGGACCCTTTTTTCTTCCCAGATCTCTGCATCTCTTTCTGCCGCTCCTCCTTTTTCATCTTCTTCTTCTTCTCTTTCCTCCTGCCGCCTGCTTCTTCTTCTCCTTTCTCTCATCACATTTTTTTTTTTCAAAAATTCTCTACTCTACTCCTTCTCCCTGTTCTATTTTTCTCCCTCTGCCCAGAGAAGTCGTCCTCCTTGCACAGTTGTCATCGTCGTCTATAGTCCATGTTGTGGAATCTCGTTGTCTGCCGTCGGTGCTCGTCTGCCATCGGTGCTTGTCTGTAATCGTCGTCGTCTACAGCCCATGGTCGGAGGTTGAGGTTGTGGTTGGAGCTTGGGGGGGGTTTGTTGCAGACGACGAATAGAAAAAGGGATGTGAGTTAGAACGAATAGAAAGAGGGAGGATTGCGAATGAACAAAATCAAGAAGAAGAGGAGTTTGCAGAATGGAGAAGAGGAGTTTGCGTCGTTCGATGTGTATTGGAGGGATAAGGACTGTCTATTTGAAAAATAAGTGAGGGTATTATGGGAAAGTCAAATGTTCATTAAAACCACCTGTTAATTTTTTTTAAAACGCAGCTTTTAAAAACTGGGTGATTGCTGCTTTGAAAAAACAGCAGTCATTGACTGCAATTTTTTTTAAAAGTTGCTTCTTGATGTTTACCAAACGCCAGTGTTGCAAAATTTTTATTAAAGCCGCTTTTTTAAAAATTTAAGGAATACCAAACGCTACCTTACTGTAATAATAAATTGGGTGGTATAATAAAATACCACTGTCAATTTTGACCTTATCTGAAAACACACCAACTTGTATGTATATGAAGAAAAATGGCTAGGCGGTAGGTAGGACTTAGCACTGGGGGAGTAATCAAGGCCTATTTCTTTTATTTATTTATTATTTAGTCTTATAAATGATTAATTTATATCAAAATTATGCAAAATAAAACAATGTATACATTATAAAATACAACCATAATATATATATATATATTAAACAAATAGTATAATATTTATTTGTTTTTTGTAATTTATTAGTGATTGCTTTAGTGATTTCATAATGCAAAATTCATTTAATGTTGTATTTTTTAAGTTCCAATCCCCATCAAAATAGGGCATTTGGTTTTTTTTTTTTTTTTTGGGTATGAAAATAGGGCATTTGGTTTTATTAGAGTTTTAAGGCATGTTTGGGCCTGCACTCTTAATTTTAATGATCACATACCCAAAGCTTTTCAATTTTTTGCCATCTAGTTCCGACATTAACTTTATCATTAAAATTTCTGTTAATTACTTGTGTGGTAATCCTAGGTCCCACCTATTCATTTTTTTCAATGTCACTTGAAGGGCATTTTGTTAAAAAAATGGTTTGGTATTAATACGTGTAATGTGTTCTTCATGGGCGGGAAGACACCAATTACCCGAAAATACTCTTCAACTGACATCGAAATAAGCGAATAAATGAGACCCATGCCTGTCATGGAAGTAATTAACTAAATTTTTGATGTTGAAGTTAATGCTGGAACCATATTGCAAAAAATTGAAAAGCTTAGGATATGTAATCGTTAAAATTGAGAGTGCAAGAACAAACATGCCTTAAGAGTAAGAGTTCAGGGTACTAAATCAAAATTAACCCATTAAGAAATTGAAAAATATATGGTAGAAAAACTTGATTATACAAAACAAGTGATATTTAAATGATGTTTTGATGAATTTTTTTAAATTTG